GGAGTCTGGTATTTGATGGCCTAGAGTACAATGGTGGCCCTGGGAATAAAGGGAATTGAAAAAAGGAAGAAAGAAAAAAAGAAAGAAAGGAAGGAAGGAAGGAAGAATTGATTTGAGATATAATTTTGGAAGTAAGCCCAACAGGATATTAATAGATGTCGGGATTAAGAAGCTACTGAAATGTGGAACACAAGAGCCCACATGACCCTGCTCTGAAAAGCACTGTAGAAAGGTGAGGCAATCAATAATGTGATATATATGTAAAGGAGGTATGAAGGGGAACACAAATATCTACCAATTTCCCCAGATTTCCAGCCATCAGGAGGAGCCCCAGACTAGTTCTTCTCATCCTCAGTCTTTTTTATAAGTATTTTCTTTACATTTATTTTGAGAAAGAGAACAAGTGGGAGAAGGGCAGAGAGAGGAGAGAGAGAATCCAAAGCAGCCTCCTTGCTGTCAGTGCAGAGCCTGAGTTCATGACCTGAGCGGAAACCAAGAGTCGGAGGCTCAACACACTGAGCCATCCAAGCGCACCATCTTTTATCCTCAGTCTTAAAACCACTTCCTTAAAATTCTCTGCCAAAGGGATAACTCTGCCCATCATGGAGACAGTTACTGATATTGTTTCACAGAGCTGCTTCACTCCTGGCTTTCCCAAACTGCTCTTTTATGAAACAAGCGTTCTTTATGTTCCCAGAGGATTCATTCAATCATTTTCCAAAACAAATCTCTTGGCATTTTTTTTCTTTCTAGCCTTGGAGCATGTTCAGGGCTCTTTCTTTCATAATGTACTTCTCAAGGGCTCCTCAGAAATCTCCTCATATGGTTCTCTCGCTGCAGATCCCTCAGAATCAGTGTCCCTCCTCTGGATTTACAGCGCTGAATCCAAGTGTACTTCCAGCCACTTTCTGTTAAGGTCATTTCCTTCAAGCAGGAATCCCTCTTGGGCTAGAGCCTCTTTCATATGACGCCTGGGTTGGTCCCTATCTATGGGGTCATTATCTGGCCCTCAGGAAAAAAATTCTCCTTGATCAATTTCAATTCTGCCTTCTTTTATTTTTTTTTAATTTTTTAAAAATGTTTTATTTATTTCTAGGAGAGAGAGAGAGACAGCGTGAGCAGGGGAGGGTCAGAGAGAGAGGAAGACACAGACTCTGAAACAGGCTCCAGGCTCTGAGCTGGCAGTCAGCACAGAGCCCGACGCGGGGCTCGAACCCACGAACCGTGAGATCATGACCTGAGCGAAAGTCGGACGCTTAACCGACTAAGCCACCCGGGCGCCCCGTGCCTTCTTTTATTTTAAAGATTTTTTTCAGTTTATTTATTTTGAGAGAAAGAGAGAGAAAGAGCACACAGGCAGAGGAGGGGCAGAGATAGAGGGAAAGAGAGAATCCAAAGCAGGCTTTGCATTGTCAGTGCAGAGCCAGACTTGGGGCTCTCAATCTCATGAACCACAGAGCATGATATGAGCCAAGCCAAAACCAAGAGTTGGACGCTCAACTGACCGAGCCACACAGGCACCCTCAAATGTTTTTTTTTGTTTGTTTTTTGTTTTTTTTAATGTTTTATTTATTTCTAGGAGAGAGAGAGAGAGACAGCGTGAGCAGGAGAGGGTCAGAGAGGAGGAGTCACAGACTTTGAAACAGACTCCAGGCTCTGAGCTGGCAGTCAGCACGGAGCCCGACGCGGGGCTCGAACCCACGAACCGCGAGATCATGACCTAAGCGAAAGTCGGACGCTTAACCGACTAAGCCACCCAGGCGCCCCACGTTTTTCTTTTTTTAACTGAAGTATAGTTGATACACAATGTTACAATGTTACACTGGCTTCAGGTATACAACATTGTGATTTGACAAATTTATATGTTAGTGCTTTCCAGTGCTTTCCTCAACGCAAGTGTCTCTACCATGTCCCACCATACAATGCATTATAATACCACTGGTTATATTCCCTATGCTGAATATTTTATCCCTAGGACTTACTCATTTCATAATTAGAAGCCTGTACCTCCCACTCCCCTTCATCCATTTTGCCCATCCCTCACCTTCTTCCCCTCTGGCAACCATTAGTTTTTATTGGTTTTTTATGGTTTTGGTTTTTTTGTTGTTGCCTGTCTTTTTATTTTTATTTTTTTCTTTTCTTTTCTTTTTTTTTTTTTACAAATAGTTTATTGTCAAGTTGGTTTCCATATAACAACCAGTGCTCATCCTCACAAGTGCCCTCCTCCATGCCCATTTTCCCCCTCCCCCCTCACACCCATCAGTCCTCAGTTTGTTCTCAGCATTCAGGAGTCTCTCATGGTTTGTCTCTCTCCCTCTCCCCCACTATTTCCCCCCTTCTTCTCCCCCATGGTCCTCCATTAAGTTCCTCCTAATCCTCCTATACGTGCAAACATATGATATTTGTCCTTCTCTGCCTGACTTTGCTCAGCATAACACCCTCAAGGTCCATCCATGTTGCTACACATGGCCAGATTTCATTCTTTCTCATTGCCATGTAGTATTCCATCGTATAGATAAACCACATCTTCTTGATCCGTTCGTCTGTTGATGGACACTTAGGCTCTTTCCATGTTTTGGCTATTGTTGAGAGTGCTGCTATGAACATTGGGATACATGTGCTCCTATGCATTAGCATTCCTATGTCTCTTGGGTAAATTCCTAGCAGTGCTATTGCTGGGTCATAGGGGAGTTCTATTGTTAGTTTCCTGAGGAACCTCCACACTGTTTTCCAGAGGGGCTGCACCAGTTTACATTCCCACCAACAGTGGAGGAGGGTGCCCGTTTCTCCACATCCTCGCCAGCATCTAGAGTTCTCTGATTTGCTCATTTTAGCCACTCTGACTGGCGTGAGGTGGTATCTCCGTGTGGTTTTGATTTGTATTTCCCTGATGAGGAGGGATGCTGAGCATCGTTTCATGTGTCTGTTGGCCATCTGGATGTCCTCTCTGGAGAAGTGTCTGTTCATATCTTCTGCCCATTTCTTCACTGGGTTGTTTGTTTTTTGGGTGTGGAGTTTGGTAAGTTCCTTATAGATTTTAGATATTAACCCTTTATCTGATATATCATTTGCAACTATCTTTTCCCATTCCGTCGGTTGTCTATTAGTTTTATGGATTGTTTCCTTTGCCTTGCAGAAGCTTTTAATCTTGATGAGGTCCCAATAGTTTATTTTTCCTCTTGATTCTTTTGCTTTTGGGGATGTGTCATGTAAGAAATTGCTGCGGTGGAGGTCAAGGAGGTTGCTTCCTGCTTTCTCCTCTAGGGTTTTGATGGTTTCCTGTCTCACGTTCAGGTCCTTTATCCATTTTGAGTTTATTTTTGTGTATGGTGTGAGAAAATGATCTAGTTTCATTCTTCTGCATGTTCTGGCAGCCATTAGCTGTTCTCCATATTCATGGATATAGTTCTACTTTTTATTTGTTTAATTCTTTGTTTTTTAGATTTTTTTTTTAGATTCCACACATAACAAATTGTATGTTGCTTGTCTTTCTCTGCCTGACTTATTTCACTTGGAATAATGCCCTCCCCAAGTCCATCCATGTTGTCATAAATGGCAAGATCTCATCCTTTCTGTGGCTGTGTGAATATCCCATCTTATATACGTATGTACACCACATCTTTATCCATTTGTCTGTTGACAGGCACTTGAAAAAGTCTTAAATTTTGACAGAGTCCAATGTATCTATTTTTTCTCTGCTGTTGCTTGTGCTTTTGATGTCATAGCTAAAAATTCTTTGCCAAATCCAAGGATATGAAGATCTACTCTTTGGTTTTCTTCTAAGAGCCTTGTAGTTTTAGCTCTTACATTTAGGCCTTTGATCTATTTTTGAAATAGTTTTTATATATGGTATGAAATGAGGGTTCAACTTCATTCTTTTACGTGTGGCTGCCCTGCTGTCCCAGCACGATGTTATCCTTTCTCACTGAATGATGTTGGCATCCTTGTCAAAAATCAGTTGACAATAGTCATATGAGTTTATTTCTAGACTTCCAATTCCATTCCACCAATCTCTAGGTCTATCCTTGTGCTAGTGCCACACTGTCTTAGTAACTTTATAGTGTAACTTTATAGTGAGTCTTGAGATTGAGTAGTGGGAGTCTTCTGATTCTATTCCTTTCAGTGTTGGTTTGGTGGACTAAGTTTTACTAACCAAAATTGATCTCTTCTGGGATGTAATTCAGTTTTCATTAAAAGATGGGAATGACAGGGGCACCTGGGTGGCTCAGTCAGTTAAGCGTCCAACACTAGATTGTGGGTCAGGTCACGATCTAACAGTTCATGGGATTGAGCTCCACCTCAGGCTCTGTGGGTCAGTGAAGATCCTGCTTGGGATCCTCTCTCTCTCTCTGCCCATCTCCTGCTCTCTCTCTCTCTCTCTCTCACACACACACTCACACACACACACACACACACACTCTCTCTTAAAATAAATACTTTTTTCATAAAAAAAATGGGAATGACAGCACAGTTAAACATAGCAATTAGAAAAAATAAAACAATTTTATGTTCATACCCTGTAAGTTAAGACTCCAGAACCAATTAGTTACAATATGTACTCTTAGATTTCGGGGGGAAAAAATCTTAGAGAAGGATTCAGATGTAACACAGAATTGGAATGTTCAAGATAGCTTTCCCTGGATCTCACCAGGCAAGGAAGCCCCAGTTGATTTCTGAGTTATACATGTTTATTCATGTTTTGTCTTGGAGTATTTTCCCGAGATTTTATGCTTTTATGTGTATATATTTTGAACTTCACCCATACTAACTTTATCGGTTTCATAAGTGCTTCTTAAACAACTCTTGCTGGTTGTTTCTTTCTTTTTTTTTTTTTGCAAATCTCCTTTGGTTTTGACATAACGTTAAGAAAACACACACATACACACACAAACCAATAAACTTGTTTTATCCTCTTTTGTCTAGGAATATGACAAACCTAAAGATCTATATACCTGCAGAGATAGCGACAGCTGAACAAGGGTAAAGAAGCGTGTGTTCCCATGGATGACTCAAGCCTGTCCAGCAGTATTGATGTAGACAAAGGCTTTGCCATTGCCTTTGTTGTTCTGCTGTTTCTGTTCCTAATTGTGATGATTTTTCGGTGTGCAAAGTTGGTGAAGAATCCCTATGAGGCCAGCTCCACAACCGCGGAACCATCTCTGAGCTGAACTATGAAAAAGCCTGATAGACTCCTCCTCAGAGCAGACTTGAACTCTTCTACACAGATGTTTATAATCTGGACTTCTTATTGTTTCACTTCTCTATGTGTCAGCCTTCTCGCTCCGGCATTCTGCCATAGGCACATGGGGTGAGTTGAGAATAATAAAAAGGATGAAACACAAGGCAGTTTATAGTCCTATTCAGGGAAATGGTTACAAAGTGGGACCGAGACAGGTTGAACTGTCTCTGTCATGGATCAAAATAAGGCCATGGGTTTCAATTATCCGGTATCAAATGTCCTTAAGATAAGATAGTTGGATATAATCGTATAGTGTAATGCAATATAACATAATAATGCTGGGGTGCCTGGGTGGCCCTATCCGTTGAGCGCCTGACTCTTGGTTTGAGCTCAGCTCATGATATTGTGTTCATGGGCTTGAGCCCCACATCAGGTTCTGTGCTGACAGCGTGGAGCCTGCTTGAGATTCTGTATCTCCCCTCCCCTCTCTACCTCTTCCCTGATCATACACACACACACTCTCTCTCTCTCAAAATAAATAAATAAACATTAAAAAAAAAGTAATGCTTGGAAGGCCCACCTAAAACTAGAATTCCTAGGAGATCTCTTTAGTTGTGCAAATATAAGGCCAGCAGGAACCAATTGTCCTTTGATAAGAGTCTAACAGGACCTTTTTAGTGTGTGAGGTTTTATAAAATCTGCTGCCCTTCTCAAATGGGGCAGAGCTCTGTGGTAGAAGGGGGACAATTTGCCTCCAGTGAATCCCTGAATCTTTCTTACTCCACATTTCCTCATTTATAAAGTAAAATAATGTCTAGTAGATTGAAAGGGGCCCTCCAAAAGATATGTCCACATTCTGCCCTTGAAACCTATGAGTGTTTTTACATATTTGGCAAAAGGATCTTTGCAGATATAATGAAGGATCTCAAGATGAATTCATCCTGGCTTAGCTGGGTGAGCCCTAAGTCCAAAGACAAATGTCCTTTATAAAAGACAGAAGAGGAGATACAGAGAGATGGAGGAAAAGGCCATGTGAAGGCAGAGGCAGAGATTGGATTCATCCAACCACAAACTAAAGAATGCTTGGCCAGAACCAAGAAGCTGGAAGAGGCAAAGAAAGATTCCCCTCAAAGCCTTTGGAGGGAGTACAGTCCTGCTGGCACCTTAAGTTTGGATTGCTAGCCTCTAGAACTGTAAGAGAATAAATTTCTATTGTTTGAAGCCAATGAGCCTATGCTAATTGGTTATGGCATTCACGAGAAATTAATATATAATATACAATGACAATGGTGGTAGTTATCATGATCAGCCCAAGACTCTTTTAAAAGAAAACAGAAAAGGGGCTCCTGGATGGCTCAGTCAGTTAAGAGTCTGACTCCTGATTTTTGCTCAGGTCATGATCTCATGGTTTGTGAGATCGAGCCCAAAAGAACCTACTCAAGGTTCTCTCTCCCTTCGCCACTTGTGCTCTCTCTCTCTCTCTCTGTAAGAAAGAAGGAAAGAAAGAGAGGAAGGAAGGAGGGAGGGAGAGAGGGAGGGAGGGAAGAAAGAAAGAAAGAGAGAGAGAGAAAGAAAGAAAAAGAAAACAGAAGGAAAGTATCATCTGTACTCTCCAAAGTCTGAAGTTAGGGAAATTTGGTAGACTATGGCCAACTGGCAGGAAAGTCCATAAGAGAATTCACCAGAAGGAGAGGGGGAATCTAGGCCACTAATCAATGCTCAACACAGGTGTCCTAAAAAGGATTGAGTGTGAGTCCGGCACAGTAAGTGATAGAGATAGTGATAGTGAAAGCTCTTATGTCCGGCCATGCTGGCCAGATGTTCTAGGCAACAGAGACCTAGCACGTGGATGTGAACTAAGAGAGCCATAGCCTTGGAAGCTAAGTGTGGGCCATCACTTGGGCTTGGGCAGGAACTTGGACCAGCATGCAGCCCCTTCAGAGGAGGCATGTATTTGTGGGAGCATGCTGGGCCAGGGGCTAGCAGCAGTACCGAATGGCACTGGCACGGGGATACAAAGTTGGTCATGCACTGTTAGCAGAGACTCAGTAAGTGTTTCCGTTTCTGACTCCTGGAAACAGAACTGCCCTCTGCTTGGCCTGAGTAAGTTCCCAGGGTTCTTTGAAAATTGAGGCAGGGGAAGCAAAGCTTTGACATGGAGATACTAGACTATGCCTTCACCAGAACAGAGTGTGCTATATTGGATAAACTAAGGGGAGGGAGGGAGGGAGACACACACACACACACACACACACACACACAGAGAGAGAGAGAGAGAGAGAGAGAGAGAGAGAGAGAATCTTAGGCAGACTCCATGCTCAATCCCTCAACCATAGGATCTTATCTGAGCCAATATCAGAGTTGGACACTCTACCGCTGAGCCACCCAGGAACCCCTAATATTTTTAAATTAATTGTCAACATTCAAAACTCAAAGCTTTCATATTTAAAAATATTGATTTTTAAGCTCACTTGAAAAAATTGGAAATCCAGCAACACTGTATCTATCACATAAGGCAAAAATTAGCTGGAGCTAAATAGTAACTGCTCCCTTGGGTGAGACATGTATTTCTCTGGTGACCACAGTCCTCACCCACCCCATCTGGCTCCTTTACATTACTTTTCTGATGCCTAAAACCCTTTGAGTTTTTAATCCCTAGCTTCTTTCATTTTGATTCTGAGATCACTCAACAATGTTTCCATTATGATTTAATTTCCCTTAAGTCTGTCTGTAGGAAAGGATCATTTGACATTGCAAGGTTTTGAGCCCTGTGCTACTATTTCTCATGCTCAAGTATTAAGTAGGACCTGGTTGTGATGTTTCAGTGAATCACAAGGGATTACAGGAATGACTGTGCTGAGCACACCAATTTGAGTATTCCAAGCAGTATATCAGTTACTTATTACTTTACATTATTAAGTTGGCAATAAACTGTCTACTTCAATTATTTGTAGATTTTAATAATGTGAATCACTTATATCAGAAGTTGATAATTTCTTTTTTTTTTTTAAAGGATATTCCAGAATACATTGGTTACCTGCCCGTATGTCAATCTTTGGTTAAATTCAAAGAATACATGAAGTGGGGCGCCTGGGTGGCTTAGTCGGTTAAGCGTCCGACTTTCGCTTAGGTCATGATCTCGCGGTTCGTGGGTTCGAGCCCCGCATCGGGCTCTGTGCTGACTGCCAGCTCAGAGCCTGGAGCCTGTTTCGGTCTGTGACTCCCTCTCTCGCTGACCCTCCCCTGCTCACGCTGTCTCTCTCTCTCTACTAGAAATAAATAAACACATAAAAAAAAATTTAAAAAAAAAAAAAACAAAACAAAGAATACATGAAGATATATTTTTAAATTTTTTATTTATTTATTTTGAGAGAGACAGAGACAGCTCAAGTGAAAGGGGCAGAAAGAGAGAGAGGGAGAGAGAGAGAATCCCAAGCAGGTTCTGCACTGTCAGCACAGAGCCTGATGTGAGGCTGGAACCCATGAGGCATGAGACCATGACCTGAGCCGAAGTCGGATGCTTAACCCGACTGAGCCACCCAGGCGCCCTAGGACTCAATCATTTCTGGCAAAAGTTAGTCTTCAGATCTTGGCTCCCTAAGTATTAAGGCCCTGCCCTAGTAGGGATTACACAACTCAAACCTGCCTGTAGTGATTCCTGTAGTGATCTCGAATTTTAGCGAGCAAATTTCCTAGAGATCTCATTAAAATTCAGATTCTGTTTCAGTACATCCTGAGTGGGGTCAGAGATTTAGAATGTCACAAGTTCCTTGACTGCATGTTGAGTAGCAAGGGTCTTAGAAGACACTTCCCAGGGCATGTGGGTGGCTCAGTTGGTTAAGCAGCCAGCTCTTGATTTTGGCTCAGGTCATGATCTCACAGTTTGTGAGTTCAAGCTCTGCATCGGGTACCCTGCTCACAGTGTGGAGCCTGCTTTGGATCCTCTGTCTCCCTCTTTCTGCCCTTCCCCTCCTGTCTCTCAAAAGTAAATAAATGTTTAAAAAATTCAACAAACACTTAAAAAAAAAAAGAAGATGATGAAGACACTTCCTAAGTCCTTCTACTGATTTCTACCAGACTTCTTGGGGCAATGAAGAAATCAGATTGGATATGATACACTAAATAGCTCCTGTTTCTCTTCAACATTGTCTATTCCTCATTCTCCCCACTCCACACTCCCCTCCCCACCCCCACCATACACACGGCAGAAAGCTGAAAGAATCTAACTAATAGAAACATAATCAGGACAGAACAGATTTCCCTTCATTCATCACACATGACAGGGCACCACACGTACAAGGCAATATGTCAGATGCTAGGGGAAACAAAGATGGTTAACGATTAAGACAGGTCCTTAGTTTGGGGCACCTGGGTGGCTCAGTTGTTTAAGTGGCTGACTCTTGATTTTGGCTCAGGTCGTGATCTCAGTTGTGAATTCAAGCCCTGAATCAGGCTTTGTGCTCACAATGTGGAGCCTGCTTCAGATTCTCTGTCTCCCTCTTTCTGCCCATAGCCCCCTCATGCTCGCTCTCGCTCTCTCTCTCAAAAACAAACAAATGTTAAAAAAAAAAAAGTTTTTTTCAGATAGGTCATCAGCTTTCAGTTGATCACAAACCAGCAAAGGAGATAAAGACATACAGAGAAAGCTCACAAGTGGAAGGAACTAAGGTAATGAAATAGAGACAGGAGTTAGTTCCGCAGGGGGTGAGCGATAGTCTACAACAATGATTTTTTTCCTAATTGAAGTTTAATTAACATACAACATATTAGTTTCAGGTGTACAAGAGTAATTTCACAATTCTATACACTACAAAATGCTTAGCATGATAAGTGTAGTTACCATCTGTCACGATACTTAGCTATTACGATATTAACTATGTTCTCCATGCTGTACTTTTCATCCCCATGACTTACTTTATAACTAGAAATTCATACCTCTTTTTTCTAAGTTTATTTATTTATTTAGGACATCTCCACATCCAGTATGGATGAACTCACACCCCAAGATGGACAGTCACATGCTCTTCCCACTGAGCCAGCCAGGGACCCTGGGAAGTCTGTACCTCTTAAATCCCTTCACCTGTTTTGCCCTCCCCTCTGGCAACCACCAGTTTGT